CCAGCCTTTTCTCTGACAGATGTGATACAAGCACTCTTGAAGTATTTGCGGGCATTTTCCAAGCAATCATTTAAATTTAGTTGAACATAAAGTTCAGCTTCCAACCTCCTTATCATGTTAAAACCAGAAAGAACTACCAAGTGACAATGAGAAAGAAGCAGAGATGTCCGCAGACTGGATTGTGATTGAAAAAATCCAGAGGAATATAATTAAACTATCACGGTAAATCGTGATAAGTTTTACTATAGTCTAACATGCATTATTTATTAATTTGTTTATTTATGAAGAAAGGTTGTGAATAAAAACATATTTTTCCCATGAGTAAATCTAAATCAGTAAACAAACAAACTTATTACTCAATGCTTGTCATGGCCTGGTCCTAAACTCTGAGTATGCAGAGAAAAATATAAGCAGTAATGATCTTAGAAAATGCTCACTTGAAGTTTTAAATTTCATATTTACCAGTTTTAATAGATATTCTGCTATAGTTGTTTCAAAAAAATAAACCTCTACATCTAACCATTTCACAACTATAACACCAATTTTGAAAGCGATTTATTTATTTATTTATTATAAAAAAACCAAGGTGGATATAAATTAGTATCTTGATTTTCATTCCTGATTATGTCTCACTCATTACAGGAATTACTGGCTTCCTTTGGAAATAAAATTGTAAAGTTGGCATCTTGTGAAAAGTATTTTAATCAAGTATTTTCTACAGGCCTTCTCTGAAATTAAATTATGTGCTTTAAATAGCTCCTTCTGGTTTCATGGTCAAATCTGTACATGACCACCAGTAAAGATCTTAGATCTAACATTTTTATGCACTGTAATTTTTTCCTCTCCATCTTCATATGCTGAAATTAGGGTAAGATTCCTATCTATCCTATCTCCCTGTTCTCGCCTTCCTTCTACAGGTAGCCCTTGACTTACGACCACAATTGAGCACAGAATTTATGTTGCTAAGTGAGAAGTTTGTTAAGTGAGTTTTACCTCCATTTTATGACTTTTCTTCCCGTATTTATTAAGCAAATCACTTAATTAAGTGAATCACTGCGGTTGTTAAATTGGTAACACAGTTGTTAAGTGAATCTGATGTCCCCCATTGTCTTTGCTTGTCAGGTCACAAAAGGGGATCACATGACCTCAGGACACTGCAACTGTCATAAACATGAACCAGTTGGCAAGCTTCTGTAGGTAAATCATGTGACCATGGGGATGCCGAAACGGTCATAAGTGTGAAAAATGGTCACTTTTTTCAGTTATAACTTCAAACGGTCACTAAATTAACTGCTGTATGTTGAGGACTACCTGTATAAAACCTCCATCCACTCTTCAGCTTGGGGACTGCAAAATAAGAATGCGAGAAGTGTAGACAAATTTCTCCCAACTCTAATGCACTTCAGGCCTGTTGGTGAACATCCCAGGGACTAGAAGACGAAGCACACACAAAAATTCCATGTCAATACTGCAGGTGCAACACTCCAACCCCAAAATCTTTTTTTTTTCCAGATAGCATGCTATATAAAACAAATCAGTTTTGTAGGAAAACTTACGACTGAAATAAATCCAGTCTTTTAGCAAGCTGTTATTTGAGGGCTTAAGAGCTGAATAGCAGAATTAATACTGAAAGGTTTAAAATGGGTATGTTTGAATATTTAGCACGAGCTGAGAGGAAAGACTATTGGTTCAAAACTGCCCTGTAGGGCTGAGTTCCTCCATCTCCTTCTAGCCAAACTGCACCTGGGTAAAGATAAAAAGAGATATGAAGTTCTTAACATCTGTTTTTTTTTTCATCCTATCACAAGGAAGATAGAATAAAAAAACAGATTTAGGAACTGAATTTTTCACTTTTTAAAAAATGAGATTGATTAGTTTCTGTGAGACTCTTTTGGAAACACAAGTGTGTTGGTGAGCACCTACACAATGAAGTCCATAAAATTCCCCATCAATACTATAGATAGGAGAATGCAACAGGAATTCCTAATCACAATGATCCCAACAGAGTGGTCCATGGTTAATGGCATCACAAGGCAAGCTTTGCCTTTTCATGTTTGCATGTAACAGCGCGTACAAAATATCTAAGGAGCAGGGATTGTATTGCAACAAGGCATTTTACGTATTACTTCCTTGTAAGTGGGGCGTTTTTGTTTTTTGCTCCCAAGCCAGCAAGATTCTTCCTCCACGCTCAGAGCTGCTTATGAACCAGAAGGAACTTTCAAAATCAGCCATGGTTGGAGACATACTCAGTCATGTTAGGAAACAGCTGGATTTCATCTTCTGTCTTAAAACCGTGGAAGAAATACCGGCACGTGTTTAATGGGCCTGCTACACACTGGTCCCTTTTTGGTTTCGTATTAATAAACATTTTAATAGAGCATTAGAAAGAAAAGTAAGATTCAAAGCTTTTAAGGTAATGTTTAACCAATTATCCAAAATACAGTATTCAACAATGTATGAAAAACTAAATTTATCACGCATGGACTTCTGCAAAAATAAATGGTTTTCTTCCTGTGGAAAGACACTATCAAGCCAGTTTTAAACCTGGATTGAAGAAGCTCATTTATTTGAACTTGTCCTATGCAGCTGGTCCTCGATTTACATCCATTTGTTTAGTGACCCTTCAAGGTTACAATGGCACTGAAAAAGTTACTTCTGACCATTTTTCATACTTATACCTGTTAGTGGTCACTGGAATATATTTATGACAGTCGCAATGTCTTGGGGTCATGTTGTGATCCACCTTTTGAGATCTTCTAACAAGCAAAGTCAACGGGGAAGCCTGATTTACTTAACAACCATGTTCCTAACTTAACTACTACAGTGATTCATTTAACAACAGAGGTAAGAAAGGTCATAAAATGAACATAATTCACTCAGCAACAGAAATTTTGGGTTCAATTGTGGTCATAAGTCGAGGACTATCTGTATTGACATAAAGTCAGATTTAATACTTCTCTGTTTCGGGCTCCGAGTTCACCCAGAGCCCACCAGCTCCGAATATGCCTCGCAGCAAGTCAGCTGGCCATGTCACCTTATCTCTGCTGCTGCCGGATCTGTATTTCTGCTTGTGTGGTGGCCGATGGCTTTGGAATGACTCAGCAGAGCCGAGGATGGATTCTGCAACAACTGCGGGGCTGCAGGATGGATTCTGCAACAACTGCGGGGCTGCTGGAACTGGCTCTTTATTGATGTGGTATATATTGTTAAAGTGGGTTGGGACACATATGGGTGGTAATTAGGACTTAGGTTAAAACATGGTGAAGGTGGCACCAGGTGGGGATCAGTTAGGGAGGGTCGGAATGGGTAAGGACATAGACATGTTATAGGGTTAATAGCATTTAGGGATAATGTGTTAGGCATGGCCAGAATTAGAACTGTGTATAGGCCTGGGTGTGGTGGGGTGTGTCTCATGATAATGGTGATAAAAGGAAAGGGAACAAACCCAAACCCAACTCTAACCCTGCCTGGCTTTTAGCCATTCTTGCCTGATTAGAGTATTTTGTTGTTCGATGCTATATTGAATAAACCATCATTGTCTTAAAGAGGAGCTAGAGTTTGGATTCATTTAAAGACAAATCTTCAATACTTAAGGACTGGCTAAGACTCTGTGTGATCAAAGTTCAATTTAATAACAAAGTTATTTCCTTCTGTATGTGTGTAATTTGTTTGGGTTATGTTTTTTTTCTTTTACTATAAAAAATAAAAACAAAACGTGGTAGCTTATGATATGAATCATTTGGTTCTGGCTTATTACAATATGTAAACCTAACCATTACAATCTGCACAATCTTGGTATGATCTGTGATTTACATAAGTCAACTAACCATGATTAGTCAACTTGTGGCTCAGCAGGGCATGCAAGTCCAATCAATGATTGGATATGAAGTGTCAGCTGTGCTACTGATAATTTGAAAAATTCATTGTGGCAGCATTTTGGAAGGCAGCTGATAAAATTAAATAAAGATAAATTAATTGAAAATATTTCTGTTCCAGATATCTACATGTATGAAAGTTGATGCTTTCCTTTCAACAGGCTTAGTAAGCAATGAGTCAACAAAGGATTTAAGAAGAAAAGGGATATGACCTCTATATATAATGAACTTGACAAGTAAATTATTAACTAAAATAAAACCAGTCTCATTTATGATCCAGCACACTACCAGTGCAAAATGGAAATCAGTTGGCTTAAAAACTACCCATTTTCTTATTTGAGTAAAAGAAGAATAAATTCTTCTTAAAAGATTCTGGACAAAAAAGTCTTTCAATATATTTCAAGTAAGCCACAGTTGGTTTACTTTGATGAGTATTGACCTGCAGAAGATAGTAATCTTATGCAAAGAAAAATCTCCCTTATTGAAATTTTGTTGGTATGTTCATTCCTGATAATTTGTAAAGATTTGAATATGCAAATTACAATGCAAAACTATGTTTAAAAAACACAAATGCATGTTTAAGACTAGAACTGATACACACACACACACACACACACACTTCTGATCTTGCCTAAAAAAAAAGTTGCACATTAAAAAAAAGCAAACCCAGAACTGAATAGATATGTTGGTGCTTTCTTTTTTTCATTTTCCTTCTTTTTCCAACATATACAAATGGGAGAAATATTACTTGTTTCAAACCTCACATCAAATCACTCACAATTGTTGCAACTTCCTGAGGCTGCACAATGCCATGTCTTCCATAAAGATGCCATTAAACTTAAAAATGCAAACAAAAAGATTATGAGGTGGATGATCACCTACTGCTTTTTCATACAAGAACTTTTTTTTTGCCTATTAAAACTTCCAAAACGGCATACTGAGCCCGTCCCACATTACATGCTCCTAGTTCTCCTATGGCTCCTTTCTTGCATCCAAGAGCAAGAAGATCAAGCAGAAGGTGCCTAGAAGAATCTCCTTTCGAAGATATCTATGTACAAAGAGAACACTGCCATAGCTGAAATTCCTTTTAAAAATGGGCTGTTTCCTGGTTTTTACACAGATCCAACATACTTCTAGATTGGAAAGGGACACAGATACGGTACAACAATTAAATCTGTTTTAGCAGCTTTTCACTGGCTGGTTTATATGAGTGCGAAGAGATGAATTCTTTCCTACATGAAGTGCAGTAAGGAAGCCTTTGAACAGCTAGCCAACACTTTTAGGTGGAACACAATTATCCCCCAAAGTAGTGTGTGCATGCATGAACTAAAGACATTTCTGACAATGGTCTCCTCTTTACTTCTATACCCTCAAAGGAGTTGTTACACACTGCTGCCTTTCCACCTCGGTTTAGCTTCTGCTACTTCTATTGCCCTTGGAGCCCAACCATCATCACAACCCAAGACTGGAGAGCTTGTGCCAGCCCTTATCCATGCTTCAGTAAAAGCCTTACACTGTTGACATCACAGATAAAGGGGACAAACTGCATGCTAAGCAGCGACCCGAACATGTCAGCTCTCACAATGACAGAGGACTCTCTGGCTCCCCAATTTTTTCCTTCTCTGGGAGAATCAGCACAAATGGGAGGAGGAGACCTTTAGCATCAAAGGGAGTTTTGAGCAGTTCTGTGTCAAAGGTGCCTTTAAGTCCCCCGTCCACTTCCACCTCGCCATTCTGAGCCAAGTTGAAGCTCAACATCCCAGTCCGGTTGACACAATAGATGGTGCTGCCCAATGCGGCACAGCGAAAAGGTTGGACCAGGCTGCCAGCAGGGCGAAAGGAAGTGCACTGACGCCAGTGCTTGGCCACCGTATTGTACTGGAAGACTTCCACTCCGGCGCCCTGCCCTGGCTCCCCGCGACTGCTGCTCACGTCAAAGCGGTAAATGAAGCTCTTGTAGGCCACCATGTCAGCCGAGCGGCGCCGGCTGCTGTTGTAAGGACACTCCTGCCACTCGTCCCGCTTGGGGTCATACTTGAGCAGCCTGTAGAAGAGGGAGCCTCCAGAGACATAGATCTCCCCGTTGCAGGTGGTCGCCTCATGAGCCACAGCAAAAGCCCCCTTAGGCAGAGGGGCCACAGGGCTCCATCGGTCTGCTCGGGGGTCGTATTTCTCCACTGTGAAGAGGCATTCCCCACCCACCGCATAGAGATACCCGTCCAGGGCCAGGAGTTTCAGCTGAGAGCGTGCCTGCCCCATGGGCTTCACCTGGCTCCAGGTATCAGTTAAGGGGTTGTAGCAAAACACCTTGTCCGACAGCTTGGGCCGCTGGTCGCCGGCCCCGGTGGAGATCCCGCCCGCCAAGAAAAGGTAGTTGTAGAGGACGCACATGGCGCACCCCTTGGCGTTGGCCTCCTCGGGCAACCGGGTGAGGACGCTCCACTCCTGGGCTGCCTCCTGGTAGCTGTAGAGAAGGGCCCCGCCGTCCTCCAGGGACACCACCGAGGACGGGCTCTGCGGGCGGCTGCTCTCGCGGCTCTGCGGCCGGCTGCCCGCGCCAAGCCGCTCGAAGGCGTCGCTCACCTCGGCCACCAGCAGGCAGGCCTTGCCGGCCTCCAGGCGGCGGCGCAGGATGAGATCCCGCTCGGCTCCGCTCAGGCGCCCGTAGACGGCGGGCTCGCGTAGCACCTGCAGGTAGTGGTCGCTCATGAAGCGGAAGGCGGCTTCGCGCAGCTCGGCCAGCCGCTGCTTCTTGGCCAGGCAGAGCAGCTGGTAGCAGTTGTCGAGGCTGAGCTGGGCCCGCATAGCCTCGGCGGCGCAGTGCAGGGCGCAGGGCATCTGGAGCACGCGGGCGCCGCTCACCACTTCGGCCAGGTTGTCGTGCCGCACCTCGCCCATGCGCGCCGTGTAGACGTACTCCAGCAGCAGGCGCAGCGCCCCGTAGCTCACCCCTTTGAGGCGCAGGATGTCCCGCGAGGAGCGGGCGCGGAAATAGTCGCTCTTGGCCGCCAGCACCGCTTTGTGCGCCCGGATCCGCCGCCCGGATACCTCGATCACCAAGTCCGGTTCCTCCCCCGGCAACTGCGAAGGAAAAGGCTGGAGGGGCGACTCGCCGATCGGATCGGGGGTAGCCACGGAGACCGGCGAGGGTTTGCCGCGACTGCCGCCCTCCTCTTCTTCCTCCGACTCGGGCGCCACGTTGTTAATATCCCACTGGTGCTTCACCACGCGGCTGCTGCTGCTGCTGCTGCAGCTGCCAGGCGAGGAGGAGGAAGGAGAAGCGGCGTCGAGCTCCGGATGCGGAGCCTGGTCGCCGCCGCCGCCGGACGAGCTGAAGCAGAGCGCTGAACTGAAGCTGCAGGGCGCCTGCAGGGGAAGCTGCGCGCTCGGCCTTTCCTCGGGGCCCACGCTCGGCTCCATCGCCAGGGACCGCTCGCCGCCGCCCTCCGAAGCAGCCTCTGCCGGCTGCGGCTGCTCCGTCTCCCCGCCGCGCTTCTTCACCTCGCCGACGCTCCCGTTCTCACCTGGGGAGAGGACACAAGACAGGGCTGAGCGCTCCATCGGCCCTCCCGCCGCCTCCGCCGCCCCGCGGCTCAGGACAGCTCCGCTCCTGCCCTTTGCGCGCTAGTTCCCCGCCTGACGGAACGAATGGGAGGCGAGGGGTAGGTCGCCCAGTCGCTCCCCGCTGAACGTTTGAACTGTCAAAGGCACCCAACTCTTCGGGCTGCCCGCCGCCGCTGTTTGACCAGGCGGGGCTTCCCTGGGTGGCAGCGTCGAGATTAAAGTTCACGTGAGTCTCTCCGTGCCAAGAAAGGCGGGCCTGGACGGTGCTGGCCTTGCCTCTTTCTCTCTCTCTCTCTCTCCGCTCCCCTCCCTTTCCCCCCTAATTTTCTGATATTTTCTTTACCCTTTCATTTTTATCCATGTGTTTGCTCAGGTATCCAAGGCAAAAGTGGGGGGGGGGGGGAGGATCAGTTTCTGATAAGCAAACATTTGGCCTTAATCCAACTCTTTGCCCATGATTACATCTCCATAGTAAGCACCAGACATGCCATGCAGAGGTAAGTTTAACTCTGCCTCCTAGAGCAAGGGTCTCCAAACTTGTCAACTTTAAAGAAGACTTGTGGACTTCAATTCCCAGAATCCCCCAGTTGGCTGGCTGGGAGAATTCTGGGAGTTGGAAGTCCACAAGTCTTAAAGTTGCCAAGGTTGGAGACTCCTGCCCTACAGAAATGATATAACAATGACCTCTAGAGCAGGGGTCTCCAACCTTGTCAACTTGAAGCCTGGAGGACTTCAACTCCCAGAATTCCCCAGCCAGC